ATGTTGAAATCTCTCCAGGCAGGATTTGTGTGTTTGCTCTGGGCTGGGGTGAAGCATTTAGGAGAATGTGTTCTTATGGGACTGCTTGTTTGCTAAATCGTGCCCATTCCTAACAAATCTGGAGTGTCTGTTACTGTGTGTATAGGGTGCATTTACACACTGTGCAGTGCTGGGTACTTCAAAAAATCAATGGTTAATTCATGATGACATGTACACTTGTTACATTTTTATTATAAACTGTAAGTGCCTGTAAAGTTAATCTCCTATCTTACCCTATTGCAGAGACCTAGATCAACCTGTGCTCATTTCTTCCTAAATTAATGAGAACAGGGGAATCTGGGGAGAAGTTTAGTGGGTTTAGTCCATCCTTGCTTGGCTTGATCAGGCCTCTCTGAAGCAGTGTGGGTGTGGTCCAGCAGCTGCTGCTGTGAACACAGTACTTTTGGACTGAGTTCAAGCTGTATTGCAGATGCACATGGAGCAGCCTTGTTTTACCTTCCTGGATACCCGCGAACACCTGGCTGAGCTCCCTGTGGGAGGTGCCGCTCCCAGTCAGCTCCTTTTTCCTGAGCAATTAGTGCCGTGTACCTTGTTGCTATGGGAAACCATAACTGCAGTGAATTCCTGGCACAGCGCGGCTGAAAGTCCAGAGTAATGAGCTACAAACAAATGCATCATCATCAGACGCTTCTGTCCTGGCTTCTCAGTTAATTCATCTGGGTCTGGTGTGGCTCCAGCATGGAGCCATGTGAGGGCCATGAACTGCTTTGGTCATGTGGACAGGATGTCTGATAACCTTCAGTTATGGTATTGTCTCAAAGAAATTCCATGCCCTGTAGTAAATACGGTGATGATTAAAAAAGAGGGAAAAGCAAATAGAAATTACTCATCTGATCATCAGGATTCTCTCATATTGGATCAGATTCATTCCATTTACCCCATCTCCTGTCTCGTAGTAGCTGTAATGGATCCCTAGAGAAATAATTACATCCTAGTGCTGTCTCTGCACCACTGCTGATTTTATTTACAGGTACTGTACATCCTCTCAGTTGTGTCTTTCTGATTTACAGCTTTGAAAAATGCATAATCTTCCTCAGTTATCTTTGACCTCCTCAGCGTCTCCTCCAGCTCCAATAGGTCTTTTTTAAGATGGGAAGATGGAGGTTGTATGCAAAATTAAAATTACATGTTCACCAGGAGATTTCTCTACAGCAACAGCTTCTGTTCACCTCACCTGCTGATGTGATTGAAAAAGTTTTTATTACAAACCTCACGATTTTTATTGCTTCCAATGCCTTGAGCATCAAAGTAATAGGAAGTCAGTTCATGAGGTCAGGCTTTTTATTTCAGATATTGCTACTAATAATGCAAATTTCCAGTAATTTCATGTTGATTTTTCATTATTACAACTTAGCCTTTGTAAGAAAGTTCCTGTCAATAAAATTTAGACCTAAACATTTCTTTCCAAGTATTTTTTTATCTTCTAAGCATCATTTCAAGGTGTTATCTTTGCTTAAATCTTATTTAGGTAAAATGTATAGATCCAGGGATTTTTCTTGAATGTTTGGTCATAAGGCTTTCCATCATGTTTTATGTGTAACGTTAATTAATTAAATTAATGCTTTTAGCTAAGCCCCAGTGGGGAAATATATGCATGAAAAGAAATTACTACAGTTGGAACTAATTAATTCCTTGATTGGCAGACTCAGCAGGTGAAGTCCTGAATAGGGTGATGTGTGTGTGTGATTTGGCCTCAGTTGTACCTGGCCAAGAACAGGTACAAGCTCTGCTTTTCCCCCAACTTAGTGTCCTGCAGGCAAGGGTTGAAGAGCAGAGCTGACGTGAAGACAAAACCCATTCTCAGCTCAGTCTCCAGTAATCCTGTGTACACCACCCATGGAACCAGGCTGGGCCTATCCAGCTATCAGGGAGATTTGCTCATCTGGCTGTCAGAACTTCAGCTCCCTGCTAAGGCTCTGCCTTATCACGACTGACAGGATTACAGTGTTTGCATTAACAGTGTGGAGAGCGTGGCAGCAGCAGCTAATCCTGTGAGGAAATGTCCTCCCACTGAGCTGCACAGGGAAATTTGATTGCTGCAAATAATTTGAAAAGAGTATTATTTTTTAAAGCATGTTAATTCACAGTGTGCTTGCTGATGCATAGCTACAGATCCGAGTCAGCATTGGCTGAGGAATCCGTGCTCACCCCTGTGCAGTTAAACAAGGTGTGCTGGCCCAGTTCACTCCCTGGTGTAGCGTAAGGACCTGGTAAAGGTTGGCCAGGCACATTTATCTAGCTCAGAAGAGCCAGTTTGGTCTCTGCAGCCCCAAGTTTTGTCATCAGGACAATCCGTAACAACCCTCAAACAGTGACTGGAACAACTCAATGTTGTCCCCACCTGGGACTGTACCAATGTCTTTATCAACCAGAGTGCCATTTCTAGGGAATCCTTGATCAGTGCAAACCCTTACAGAGCATTCCTGTTGCAGTGGAGAGCCCCAGGACCTGCAGAGGAAGGAGGAGGGAGTGTGTGGGTATTTTGATATTAAGTGTTTCAAGCTGGCTACTGAGCAGCCAGCATGTTGATGTGCAAATGGACTGTGGCTGGAATCTGAAAGGTGGCTTCTGTATCCCATTCTGTATGTCTTTTCCTGTTTGAACCCTTCCACTGTTGACACTGCATTTAGGAGACAACTGGAATTGGCACAGCTCTCCAAATGGAGCAGTGAAAGAGCTTGCTTACAGCCATGGCTACAGCCCTGCTTCCAGGTGAGGATGTAAATTAGATTTAAAACTGTTTCCCAGAGTTAAAGGGCTGGTTGGATGGTGAACCAACTGTGAGGACATGAAGCACAATAGAGCACAGAGGGCAGAGGGGTGAGCAAGTTAAAAGTGTTACATAAGCACATTTTTATGAGTCCCTGTAGTTGTAATAGAAGTCGGCAGCATGGGATTGGTGTGGATTAGCTCAGACTATACACTTACTGTGTGTAAAAAGTGACACAAACCCCCAGAATTTTATTGCTAATACAGCATTAAGTAAAAAAAAAGTGTTGTTTTGGCAGGCGTACCTTGCTGCAGTCCCAAACCTACCTGGGACTCTCTTATGAGCCTCTTTCACTTCTTTTCATTTGTTCTGCTCTTTCTGTTTAGACCTGGAGCTGTTTCTTTTGTTGTTGTTTTCGGGTTTTCTATTTGCTGTTAAAATATTTAACTGGAACTGAGAAATATTTTAAAGTAAGAAAAACCTGTTTTCAGTTAGATAGAAAACTAAACCTCCAATATTTACCAGTACACAAGTCCAGATTAGTTTGGTAATACCGCATGTCTCAAAAGGGTTATCTGCTTGGCAGCTTCCTTTAGGGCCAAGAATTGACTGAGAGGGACTTTGTACCAACACACGATGGGGAAAGGTTGTGTTGTCTTCAGTGCTCTGATACCTCACGCTGCTTTGGGTACATCCTGCGAAATGCCTGGGGGAGGAAAAAATGGTCATTTGTGCACAGTTTGGTTGTCCTGCTTTTCAGGAGGTCCATGTCAGTGGATATGGGTATTTCTGGCTCCTTTCTTCCCCTGGCTGGTAACTTCAGTTTGAAGTTACGCAGTAGATGTCCCACAAACAGGGACCAAAGGGGACAGCCAGCAATCCTTGAAAGGGGAAAAGTCTTTTGAGCATTTGACTGCCTGCTCAGGCTTCTCTGCACAGATGAATGTCATACCCAACCCACCCACCCATTTCAGAAAATGCCTCCACTTGTCCCTCCTTGTTCACAATATCCTCGTTCCTCAGCAGTGTTCCCAACTCCCGCTCGGGCTTTGCAGTTAAGGAAAACTCAGACCAAGCTATGACATGGTCCCATTTTAGACACCATGAAGTAATTAGTTCAGTAGTCCCAGATAAAAAAATTTAATCTTTCTCTAGAAACAGTACACTGTTTTACAAAGGTGTTCATTTGGTTTCCAGTACAGCAAGTGTTACACAGAGCCCCCCCCGCCCCACCCTGGGCCTTTTGTCCGCAATGTAAGAACTGAAACACAAAAGGCACCAAGCAAGAATTTACTCTAACAGAACTTCAGTATGACAAGACAGATCAGAAATGATTACAATGTTAAATATCACCCTAACAATCTGAACCATTATTTAAAATAATTAATTTCTTAAAAAACAAATTTGGTGTTTGACTTCTCAGTAGTTATAAATCTGTAAAGGTTGAAATCAGCACTGCACCTTGAGTTCATTTACAAGGGTTTGAAAAAACCTGCAGCCTTTTGCACGTGGTTTGTATAGGTTTGTTTGTGTGTACATGTTCTTAAAAAAGTATCAAAACTGTAGAGCTTTCAAATATATTTACATTCTTCTGTTAGTTACAGTGTTATCACATACGGCCTTTGCTCAGCTTTTTTCTTCATGCACACAGTGCATGGATTTGTAGAAAGAGCGCTTCCTACCTTAAAACAGTAATGGATATCTCACTCATTTTTTCACTGCCTTAAAATCTAAAATTTTGAATAGAAGGATGCTTGATTACTTCTGTATTGTCTATGCAGGCCATGAAGCATTTAGAGAGTCTGTATTATGTTTGTAAGGGCTTTAGACACTTTCTTCCTGTTCTTAGTCAAGAATCAGCTTCCAGCTCAAATTACAACTGTGAATTTATTCTAAAAAGGAAAAAAAACCCCTCAAACCCATTCATGATGAATTTCGTCTACTCACTTGAATACAAAAGCTTGGACTGACATAAAAACATGAGGAAGATTTCTCTAGGATTTGGTACAGTTCAGGGAGGTACTAATCCATTCTGCAATGATAGTAAGTGTATTCACTTCCCACAGAATTCCCTGGGAATCTTATGGAAGCAGATGAGAACAAACAAGTGTTTTTTCTACAAGGTGCAGGATGACCCAGCCAAAGATACTGGGAAGGCTGTGGGTTTTTACCCTGCTCTGGCCTCCTTGCCCAGTGCTCCAGTCTGGGATTCCTGCTGTGTCCAGCGGCACTTGAAAGAATTCCACACCTGCCACAGCCTCTCCCAGAGCTGGACTGTCAGTCAGTACGAGCAGGGGACAAGGGCAAGCAGGGAAGGAAGGGACTTCAGTTATTGTGTTGTTTTCCTGATGATCCAAGGGGAGTGCTCACTTCAGCTGTGTGGAAGGACAGGGCTGCATCTTTGTTTCTGCTAATTCTGAGCTGATTTGAGAGGTGCAAGATTCCCAGTGTGGAAAAACATTCAGATATACATTTAGAAACAAACAAAAAACTTAAATCAGATTTGTACCCAGCTGTTTAAAAAGCAACAATACAAAAACCCCCTGGGTGCTGTAGGAGCTTCTCCTGACTGGAATGCTGTAGGCAGTAGCCCTCCAGTTAAAAGCACTGCAGAGGATTCTTCATGGATAGACTGGAAAATGCCAAAGCAACCCTTAAGAGCCAGGATGGAAATCTGGAGCTGTTTCTAATGGTGCTTCGCTGGTCAGCTGTCTTACCCTGCAGCTCTTTCTTACTTAGTGTCTTTAGATTTCAAAGCAAACTTCTCAAACATCCTGTAAAAATTCAATTATCCCTAATTTTCATAAATGTAGGCTAGTAGTTTTAAAATATATGTATATATTCTTATATATATGTATATATTTATATGCCTATATATCTATCTTGTCCAGATAGATATATACACAGATAATCTATGCACAGCAAGCCAAACATACAAAAAATAAATACTCTCACCCCTCTACTATATTTACAGAACAGATCTTATAATCCAGATTTTGTTAATAAATATTTCTAAACTGCCTGTACAGAATTTATTTTACTTATGTTGATGGATAGCCACAAAGCATATTCAACATATTTACAAAATATCTATAAATATAGTCTTAAAATAAAGCAATAGCTACTGAGCCTTCAGCCTGGCTGGTTATGTACATTGAGTTAGTAGCTCAGCTGTCGCTTATTCACTATCACAAATGGGTAGTGCAACAAGTTAAAATGTGTATAAAAGATTATACATACAAAACTCTCACATCCTTTGGATGTTTGCAGTTCATTATAACTTTGTGGTTACCCTTCTGCAACATAAATAACGATCAAAAGGAAGAAGCAGGTTCTGTGATCCAAAGCAGGTTTGTTCGGTGTGTTTTTGGAGCAGCAACTTCATCCTCATGGCAACCCGTCATCTTCTAAGCTCAGTGCTACACGCTGGGGAGGAGAAGAGACACATTGAGAAACTCTGGGAATGCTGATACTGTTGCTAACTTGTATTAGTTGCTCAGTCACTCATTGTCCCAAGTGCATTGGTGACAAAGCTATTTTAGGGAGTGATTTTTTTCCCCCAAATGGGGTCACTTGCCCCAGTGTTACTGAAGAGGCATTGGAGAGGTTACTGCCCTGTGTATTGGATCAGGTTCCCTGTAAGGGATGACACCTTCTCTGGTGTGTTCTGGTGCAGGACCTTTAGATGCCAGGGGGCATTACCTACACCCCTGCCTGCCTGTAGGAGCTGTGCTGCCTTCACTCGTTACTTATTGGGTCCTTCTGCTCTCTGCACACACACTGCAGTTACACCTCCCAGTGCTCATCTCCCAGGGCTGCCACTGGGACAGAGGCTCCTTTTCCTTCTTCTTACAGAACTCACTCACTCCTCCTTGTGAGGAATGAGGCTCTTTTTTTACACTGTTATTGTAGAGAAAACAGTCTCCCTGGTTTGCAGAGAAACTCAATTTATCCCTAAGATAGCTTAGGCACTTGGTAGCAGTCTAAGCAGATATACCAATCCAGTAGAGGATAAGTAATCACCTGTCCCACACTGAGGTACCTTTACACTTGTCAGCTTAGTTCCTTGATTAGAAACAATTATTCTTCCTGTGAGCAGAGTATCTTATACAGAGCACTACATTCTAAGACAACTGCAGGAGCTGCCTGCAAGTTCAGGCTGCTGTCTGATCAATGATATTAAAGAAGTTCTGCTTTTGTTATTATATGGCAAACAACCTACAATAATTACAATTCTGTATCCAAACTCTCAACAATTCCCCTTGTCCCTCAGCCACTCACTGCTGGGTACACGTGTCCGATTTGGGCCGTCCGCCCAATGTGGATCTCATCTTCATCCTCCTCTTCTGTTGTCTTCCTGTAGACTGGATTATCAAAATTCATGCTTTTGGTGTTCTTCCGTTTCCAGTTCCTCCAGATGAGGTATCCCCCCATGCACAGCAGGCCGATGACCACTGAGGAGAGGGGAGAGACAGGGCTGTGAGCCAGGCACGGATCTGCTGGGATGTTCCCATGTTGGGAGCCATCCTTGGAGAATCTTCTCAAAGCTGGGCTCCTTATCCCCATTTCAGAAGTTCCTGTACTCTTTCCCACCCCAGTCCTGACAACTGGCACTTGGGTGTGATCCTCAAAGGTTAAATCCAACCAGCTTACCCACAGGAATGACAATTCCAATCACAGCCGCTGTCACAGTTGAACCAAAGCCTTCGTCATCATTTGCATCTGGAATTACAGAAGTTGTTCTGATCATTTAACTTTAAACCATTAACATTAAACCATTTTCTGGTTTTAGAGAATGTTTTATGTTAGTGCCCATGTTGTTCCACCCATCAGAAAGCTTTTGTTGTCAGAGAGTTTACCAGAAGCTTCACAATAAAATTGTTATGGCTTGTGTCTAATTTTCAAGCACAAAAAAGGAGGCCAGTTTTAAAAATGTCATGTAATGGAAATACCATGCACGGATCAGGGGATGGTGTGTAGCGCTCTTAAAAATCCACAGCAGAACACAAAATTAATGATTTATTGAGCTGTCAGAAAAAGAGTGCAGTTCAAAGCCCTCTGCACAGCTTCTCTGTTTAATTTTTTCCTTCCTTTATTATTTACAGCTAAGGAGTCATTGCTGCAGCCTGCCCCAGCATGCAAGAATGGCCCCAAAACTCAATACTGTACTTACAAGAGAAAAAACTATTACAGAAAAATACTTAAAAATAATAAATATACCGTTAGAGCTGTATGCTTTAAAATGTTTGTTCTGAGCTCTTATATAGGGGATAGGCATAGAAAATTTACTTTTGCTAAAAATGTCAGGAACTAAGAGAGGAGGAACTAACTGTAGCTTTTCCAATTCATGGAACTAAAAAGGTAATTTATCCTCTTCAATACTTCCCTTTGGCACACTGCTTCCAGCGTGGACAACTAAAGCACCTGGTTTCCATGGCTTATTAAAAAGGTAATTATTACATTTGAAAGAAACTTGCACAAAGAGAACTTAACTGAATGCATTTCAGACATTGGGCTGTGCTTCCCCCACGCTGCACTGCTGTTCTGCAGACAGGGATGGTTATTGCTGCTTCCCACACGGAATTTGGGGAAAAGGAGTATTTTACTGTTTGTAAAGCAGTGTAGGTCTGTGTGGGGTCCTGCTGAGCAAAGTCTTCTCTCTGGACTAGAATTTTATGGGTTTTTTTGAGAAGCCATTCAGCCTGTGCAGTTTGCCTTGGCAGCAGGATCTGCAGGGATTACCTGTTCTCTGAGACACAGGCTGGTGTTCCATCGCTTGCTCTTTATGGAGGGTGAGCTGGAGGAGCCTGTTAGTGCTCTCCACTGGGATGGCTTCCTGATAAATAATGCAAACCTTCAAACCTGTGTCAGGCCCAGGCCACATTAACATGCCAGGCACAGCCACACAAACCACAGGCAGCTTGTCTTGGGCTTCAGGGGTTCCACATGTCCAGCAGCACTAAAGCTGCACACGGGGCATTTTTAATAATTAAACAATTCAAACAGGTGAGGTGCCTCCAGAATCACCCATTCTGCTGCTGGGATGAAATAGTACTGTGCACAAGACAAGGACCAGTGTGAACTCCTAGGGCCGTTTCATGGGATGAAAACCTGATTTAAATTCCTTAACATCCTGAGACTGGAATCACAGCAGCCCTTGTAACCCAGGTGTCTGCAGAAAGAGCCCCTGCTGTCTCCTGCCCTGCACCAGGGTGTGTCTGCCCCTGATCCCACTGGAACTCACGTGTGAGGGGCGGTGTCCCACCAGTGCAGGGGGTGGTGTGACATGGTGTATATGGAAAAGGAAAAGAGGAATGTCATTCTCTTACAGTGCTGGGATAAATTGCTGTTTCCAGTGGTCATCTCGGAGTCTATCAGGATGGATGTGGTGGAAGGTAAATGAAGACTTGGGGTGGTAATTGTAGCCTCTGGTACAGCTCTGGGGATGCCCTCGGTGGTGTTCCTGGCACTGCCAGGCACAGCTGTGATGGGCGTGGTACCAGTAGAAGGGGGTGCTGTGGTTGTAGAAACCAGAACAGGAGCTGAAGTTGTTGGAAGGTCTGAAAATCCAGAGCAACAATGAAGTTTGGTTAAAGCAAGTACACAAAGCAAATCACAAATGGTGGGATAAATCTGAGGAGGACTGTTATGTTTAATGACTAGAACGAGAAACCAAATTCCAATTCCATTTGTCAGGAATAGCGAAATGGAGACATGGTTGTATCTACCTTTGTAGCATTTCTTCATGTCAGGACCCAGCCACATGTTGTCAGGACAGGCACAGGTGTACTTGGGAGAGTGGGCAGAGATCTGAGGTGCAGGGAGACACAAGTAGTCACAGCCTCCGTTTGGCTGGGGGCTGAGCTCGCAGGAGTCTGGAGCTGTTCGAGGATGGAAGAAAAGACAAGTTGTTTTTCTAATTATTATTTCTTGCCCTCTAAAAAGACCTTCTTCCACTCCCTACCTCAATTAATTGGGCTGCTTAAGCACCTTTGCAGTTTGTACAGTGGAGCGGAACCTTACACAGTACTATAAAAACTGCCCAAATACATAATGAATGGGAAGCATCACAGTGACAAGAGTAACTCGTTGTTATCAAAGATGCTAATTAAACAGCTATTAACAAATTGCAGACTTTCCAATAACTGCTGCTGCTGAATTAATTATGCAGGAACTTCAAACATTAAGCATTGATTTCCCATTATTACCTGTGCTTTCTCTCTCATCAAGAACCATCAGGAAGCATTTCATTTGCCAGCTCAAATAAACCTGATTCAGGGCCATGACACCCCGAGGACACATCGTACCTTTGGGCTGCTTTAATTCATGGAACACCACGATGTCGTGAGGGTTGTTGAGGTTCTCTGCCAGAATGGAGATGTCCAAGCCGTTGAGCCTGTTTGCACTGAAGATCGCTTCGTTCTCCAGATCAGTCCAGAACACTCTGTCCTGCAGGGAATGCACAGGACTCCTCACCTGGGCTGCTCCAATCCAGCAGTCACAGAGTCAGTGCTCCGTGCTCCTGCCTCAGGGCACCTTTGGTTCATGCTACTTTTTATCCCTGGGCAATGCTCAAAGCCCAGCACTCCTGTGTGTTTATAAAGTGCTCAGTAATTCTGAGGAGCTCTGAGGCTGAGGGGAGGGAGCAGAAATTTGGTTGGCTACGGATGAGTTGCATCTGTGCCGTTTCTGAAATTTTTTTAGAGTTGGGGTGGATCGTGAGCAAAGGGCCATACTCCATACTAGAAACATTTGTTAGCTCTGCTGATTTTTTTTCTCCTTTCCAAAGAAAAGACCTGCATTAAACAGGTATCTATGAAGAGCCAGTGCCTGGAGCACAGCTGGAAGCTGAGTTGGAACGCTGCGATTGACAATGCAAAATTCCTGGTCCAGCAGGTAGCCAGAAACTGCAGTTCTCCAACTGTATTTAGTTGCTCAGTTGGCTGTGTGTGCTGCCGCCTGCTAAAAACCACAGGTATTTCCGTAAGGAAAGACACACTGCTGGAGAACAAGGAAAACTTTGCAAAAGCAAACGGGTTGCCTGTTACTCTACCCAGGAAGGGTGTAGAGAGGAGAAATAACCCAAGAGATCTTCCCAAACACTGCTGATGGGATAACTCTAAAGAGCAGCAATGCCTTGGGGAAACCTGTGCCCAGAGTTAGATGCCCAGATTTCACACACAGTGGATGGGAAGAATAAGGGATTTAAGGAAGAGGGTTTTGCTGAGTCAAAAGCCATCCAGACACCTTTCTCACCTACAGGAGGGCCAAAGCTGAAGCCTGGGTTCCCCTGATCATTTAATGCACTGGTGCTGCATTAGGTAAAAGCATGACACAACACATAGCTCCTGATTAAGGGGCTTTAAAACCCAGTTTTCCCTGCTGAACCCACACCAGATAATCTGGTTTCTATAGCAGTGACCGCCCTTGTGAGCTTTCTGTGCTGTGCAAGAGGCTGAGCTTTAATCAAGAACAGCTCTGAGACCTCTCCCAGTCTCCAGTCTGTTCTACAGCCGTTGTCAGCTCTTACCTCAAACACTGCCAAGCCAAAAGGATGGCTCAGATCATCCACAGAGGAGATCAGAACTTTTCTGTTGCTGCCATTGAAATCAATGCAGGACAGAGAATGCAACTTGGAGTCTACCCAGTACAGACGCTGATTCAGCAAATCTGAAAAGTAAAACACATTGAAGCAAAATTACACACAGCTCTTGCAACTCTTTTTCTCTTGCCCAGCATGTTTTTCCTGCTGGCAGCATGACTAATCTCTTTATTATTGGGCCTCTTTTTTTTTTTAACACTAGTTCTGAATTTGAACCAGTGCCCAGATATGCTGGGATAAGACCCTATAAATAAGATTAAAAAGGAGGAACATTCTGCTGAATGTGTGTGTGGGGAATGCCTGACTGACAGCCTTGTACAGTGAGGTTCTTTTATTACCAGGAGCAGCAGGACAGCAGCACTTTGGGCTTCCCAGAGTCACTCCCTCAGTGGCTGAGACAGAAGCTCCATCCCTCCCAGGGCTGTTTGGGCCTTGGCCTCTTGCTGGAGAACAACTACGGTGACTCCTGGGAAAAGTCTCCCTGAAGGAGCTGTGAGATTCACATTTTCAGTGAAGAACCACCCTGGCTCCAAAACCCTCGTGCTGCAGGCTGGGGAATGCTGCTGGTGCTACCTCAACCAGGCAGGTTTTGGGGAGGGTGCAGGTAAGAGTGAGAGGGAAGGATCCAGTATTATTTGGAATGCTAAGCAGTGTATTTCTCTTTCTGGAGCATATTCACTCATTTTGGATGAGATTCACTGAACAGAATGCAAGTGGATGAGAGCCAACACAAAACAAGTTATGTAATTAAACAAGTCATTAATTAATTTCTTAATTACTAAATTATAACATTATTTGTTCACAGCAGTAGCACTTCAGCCCTATGCCATGGCAGCAGCATGTTCTCCTACATCCTTGTCATGGCCAGAATTTTCAAATTTAAAACCAAGCAGAGAACCTCACACTTGCACGGGTGTTAAACACAGGGCTCTAACTCCAGAGCAGGATGTTCCCTGCTGCTCCATGAAACCTCCTTTCCACTCCTGCAGCAGTGACAGTATTTAAGGATTTGTGTGTGTGCAGGTGCCTTTGCACATTTACAATTTTGTTTTCCTATTTAACAATCAAACCCAGTTTTCTCCAGGCAGTGTGGATGCTGCAGCTCCCACTGGGCACTCACCAAGGGTGATGCCGTTCGGCCACTCGATGTTGTCCATCACCAGCACCTGCCGCCCCACACCGTTCAGACCGGCTTTCTCGATCTTGGCTTTGTCTCCCCAGTCAGACCAGTACATGAACCTGAAAGACAGATGTGAGAACACACTTAATTGGACTCTAGTTAGAAAGCTGCACTGCTGTTGGCCGTAGGAGGTGCCCTGTTCTCTCCTTCCTATAGCAAAGCCTTCGGCCACTTCAGTTAATTCTGCTGTGCACCTGCTGGAGCCACATGCTGTTCTCCCACTGGGTATCCTGCCACCAAACTTGCACCAGAATGCAACATCTCACCTTAGTAACTAAGCCCTGCAAACTCTCTCCTGGTGTGCCTGTTGGGTTCGTGGTGTTCCCTCCTCCAAGCAGCCCAAACACAGGTCAGACGGTTCATTTCTCAGCACAGCTGATGTGCCCAGACCAGCTCAGGCCCATCAAACACATGACCTGGCCATGAGTTTCAGAACCTTCTTTTACAGCAGGGCCTTGCCAAGAGTGAGCTGAACCATCTCAGCAGTCCCACTGATGTATCTTAAAGGGCACTGAAGTCCTAATGAGATGAGAACCACCCCAAGTTTGTCAGAGAGGCAGAAAGACGACTGGACTGTGTCTGTTGGCAGAGCGGTGTTTGTGGGGATCACACTTACCTCTGAGTGGGATCAACAGCAATGGCCCTTGGCTCACTGAGGTCAGTGTTGAAAAGTGTCCTCCTCCTGCTTCCATCTGCGGTGGCCACTGAGATGGTCTTGTTTCCGGAATCGGTCCAGTAGATGTTTTTATGGACCCAGTCGATGGCCAGTCCCTCGGGGGAGTTCAGCTGGCTGTCGATCAGGATCACCTGCTCGGCCGTGTCGCTCGCTTTGTCTATGTAGGCACTGCAAGGACAGGACAGGTCATGGGGCTGGCACAGCTCAGGTGCCTGCTCTTGGGCCTCATGAGGCAGCTCAGCTGACACAGGAACCCTTCTGGCTACAAAATTCCACTTTCTCCTACAGCTGCTGCTTATTTCCTTGTGCCTGTATGGCATCACTTCCACAGCAGGGAACTCTCATTTCATTTTTCTGCCTGTGTCCTGCTATAACTGCACCATTCAGGAAAACACTGACTTCAGGAATGTTAACTTCTGATTCATGGGATTTATGGACACTAGAAATATAACCCTCTGAGCTCTGCTGAATACAATTGCAAGTGCCATGCAATAAATGTACTTAAGTGTACTGCAGAATTAGGACCTGTGTAGCTAATTATGATTCATCAAAGGAATTCATGAAGCTGTATAATTTGGCAAGTGATTTCATTAGATACAAAGAAAATGTTCACCAAATATTAGCAGCAGCCTCAAAATCTTTCAAAACACTAATGAAAGGCATCAGACTCCACATGGATGTGTCATGAATAACTCAATGTTGCTCCTACAAACACACAGGCTGATTCTGCTCTCACTATCAGCTGTGCTGAGTGAACTGAAATCGAGTTATTCTGAGTTTGCATCAGTGTTTGTAAAAGCTTAGTCTGGCTCTTAGAATAACTCTGTAATCTTAAAAACATAAAACAGTAGAAAGTTTAGAAATGCTTGATATTAGTGACAGCAGCAATACTTTAAACAGGATGCTAATTTTTAAGAAGTTATAATTGCACGGCTTGCTCTGCAAAAAAGGTGGGACAACAGTCAGACCCAGTGAGAGCAGATAGCTTTCGTCTGGAGGCCTCCCCATTTTCAGAGCCCCACAGGCCACCTGCACAGCTGCTCCATACTCAGCACAGCCTGGAAAAATTTCCCTGCCAGTGGTGTGGGAGCTGCCACAGCCTGCAGGAACCCCAGCCTGCCTCCTGCACGCTGACACCAATCAGCCTCTGCCTGATCGTTAGTTAAAACCCAGAACAAATCACTGCAACAGGGTGCAATGGCTGTGCAAATCAGAACACACTTGGGGGATTTTCAGCACAGCCTCTGAATGCATTTTTGACTTAGGCACACTCACAAGCCCCGGCACAGAATACTGTGATGGATGCCACAAAAGCAGCTGGAGCGAGGATGAGAATTACAGAACGTGTACTGTGGTCAAATGCTGGGAATTTAAATCCCACCATTTGCCCCCTTTGTGCTTCCAGATGCCAGGTCCTTTGTGGCTTCCCGTACAACAGGCTCCCAGCCTCGGCCTGCTTTGCAGTGTCATGTTCAGGAAACAGGAGTCTGTGTTTAATTGCACAACTGCAGCAGGATTTTGCACTGACAAAAAGTCACCCTGTATTATCAAACCAGATAACTGCACAAGCCCTGATTTCTTTATTGATTCCTTAAACATCTTACAAAGTCTGAGCCACTTCAGGTAATCCTGTAAGGGCAGAAAAGCCCTCCCTGTTCCCTGCAGATTTCAGGGGTACAGACTGAACTGCAGCTTTGGGAAGGGACCCACACACACATCCTCTCTTGCCCTTACCTGTAGATTTTCCGGTAGAACAAATCACACCAGTATATTCTGTTTGTTGACACTTCCACGTCCAGCGCCACGACGTTCTTCAGCATGGGAATGATGCGGGAATAGTCCCTTTTCACCAGGTCTATCTTACGGACCTCGTGGCGGTTGGTGAAGATCAGGTACGGGCTCTTGCCTACCACAGGAAATCAGCACATTGTCACTTCAGCAGCTGTCCTGAGGGCTGGGTTCAGCTTTCTTTTCACAAACAACAATGGAACTGTCAGTCAGTGATGGTTCTGCTTTCTGTGGAAGCTTTACACCACACGGGAAGCCAACGGCTGCCAGAGGCAGGGTGTCATGCGTGGGCACAGAGGGCAGTGGCACCTCTCTGGTCCCTGGACACACGCTGGCTCTTGCAAAGCTTAGGGGAGTGTCCTGACTTTCAATTACACATTTTAGATACAAAATCAAGGGCCAGATTTTGGTGACTTACAGCTGGGAGGGTGGAGGGGTGGCTAAGCTACCCTGCTGTAACTGGGATGTTTTCTGTCTTTCCACTACCACTAAATGTTGTTGCTGCACTGTTTTCAATAACACCTGTCAAGAGACTTTCTTTTCTGGTTTCAGCTTCAAACAGCCAAGCAGTGACTGCAATCTTGCTCTGTACACTGTTAAAATATTCTGATCTGCACGATCAGTAGTTCTTGCCTAGAGACGCATCTGCCATCGCTGCAGCAGCTCTGTGCTGCTCAGAACGAGACGGTTTTGCTTGCTTTGCTTGTTTCCTTTTGTTTCTGTTCCCCTCAGCCCTGCGAGCGTGTTTTCTTATCGGAGCTGTGTTGTTGAGCAAGCAGAGTTGAAGCGCCCGTGGCATTGTCTTACCTACAGCTTTGCAGTTCTTGGACAGGGTGTCCATCTCGTATCCTTCGTAGCACTCACATTTGTAGTCTCCCTTGTAATTAATGCAGATCTGGCTACAAGCGTCTGGATTCTCACATTCATCTATGTCTGAAAGGAGTGTTTGAAACCCATCAATAACTTGAAATCAAACCATCTGTGATGGAGCAGTGCTCAAGTGAATATAATCACGTCTCTCTATGGTGAAACACAAGGGACTGCTGTTTGCATGTAAATTACCTCCACACGTTTTCTTATCCAGGAGCTTGTATCCGGGCGGGCACTCGCACTCGTAGCCGATCTTCAAGTCCTTGCATATGTGAGAGCAGCCGCCGTTGTTCATGGAGCATTCGTTAGTACCTGCACGGGACACAGATTATCTGGGACAAACCAGGGCTTTGACTCGAGAGAGTGAATGAAATTAAGAGATGTCCTCAGAAATTTTCCCACATCTATCAGTTCTGGTAGCCAGGAGCTGGCCCCACAGAGCACTTGAGTAACTTCACAGATAGGAAGCCTCCACTGCATCACTTTCTTGCTCTTTATTATTCCAAAGCAGAGCTGTGGGATCCCATGGACTCAAAGCTAGTGGCTGAATGAACAGGGAGCCCTGGGGATACGGCATATGTGAGTCTTTGCATCTCATCCCATCAGGGAGCTGCTGCTTTGAGCATGTTCTGCCACATGTGAGAAACTTCCAGGGGACCTAAGGGCTCTCTCCAGGATACTCCTCCTTTCCCATGTGCTAGTTCATGTTGACTTTTCTGAACAGTCTCTCTGAGCTTTAATAATTCATGCTGGGGGACTCTCATCTCCCAGGGGCCAGCTATTTTGAAATACTGTGCTATTTCCCCTTCTAGCTCCAAGGACTGATCTGTGTGAACAATCCCACTGAAGAACAGTCTGTCAGAGATACGCCATGAGCACCAGGATACCATCCTCCCACAAACCCGTCCCACACAACAGGCTCTGCTGGCAGCCCAAGTGTGCAATTTATGAAACAACAGCCCCCATCCTCTCCTGGGGCCCTGTCTCATCCAAGGCCACCTCTCTGCTCCTGCTTTCAAGTGCTCAAATGAAAAGCAAGCTAAATGGATCCTTGTAACTAGAACCAAATGAGAGGTTGGGGAAAGCTGGTTTCCTGTCAGAAATAACATCTCTTCTTGTTGTAATTGACCTATACAAGGTGAAGGGAAAGTCCTGTCCCTACAGAACCCTGCTGAACAGCAGCTGTGGGATTTCAGGGAGAGTGAGCTCACTAGAACAAGCCAAACTGATTTGCTCCCATCTATAATACAATTTAAAGGCAAATTTTTCTTTTTTTATCTTTTACTTCTTGCTTCCTTGCACACTGCAGGTGATCAGCACAGCAGAGCCATTAAACCATTGCTCTTGGAAGGAAAGGGAAACAACCACAAGCCAATTAAGTCAGCAAGATTAGGAAGGTACCATGCCAGAAGGAAGCCCATCTCAGCTCTGGGATGCTTCCACCTTCCTATCAGGCACACGCATACAGATAACAATACATAATTAACAGAGCAATTCAGTAGGCTCTGAGAAGGCACCCACAGCCACACTGTGTGTTGTCACTGTTCAGTGACATTTATGGACAGAAACCACCTATCCCTACCCTGGCATGGGCCTTTAGCAAATTGGGTCATAAACATGCACAGCTGCTCTCTGCAAAATACTACAAAGGCTGTTTTGACTGACAAGCAAACCCTCCCTCAGATGATTCCTGTGGTTCCAGAGGTGCTTTGTGGAATGGATTTAGAGGTTCTAAATCAAGTGCTGCACTTCTGAAGAGGAGCTGAGGAGGAGCCAGGCAGAGCCTGTTCTCTTTCTGCTGCCCTCGACCCAAACTCCAGCAGCACATTCCCTAAGGTAAGTGCTGTCCTGCCTCCTGCAGTGCTTTTTGGGGGAACCCTCGAGGGCACTGCAGAGTCCAGAACAGCCAGACAGACACACTGAGGTGGGGAGTGTGTCCTGACCTCCTGCCTTCCGTGTGGATTAGCTGTGTGTGGGTGTTACATTCTCAGCACCCCACACCACTGCTCTCTTCAAGGAACACATTCCTCTGGGGGCTCTGTCCTTCCTGACTCGCCCCACAGCCAGTCTGGGACTGCACCAAGGCAGCCATGAGCACCAAGTCTGCCCAGTCTCCTCAGACAAACCGGGCTGCCAGCTGTGCTGGGAGACCCCTACAGACAGACATGTTGCAACACCCGCTCAGAGAGACAGGGAGATGTGGGTTAGTGTGGAGGAAAGCAAGGGCACACTGAAAGCAGGAGGTAAGAGCATCCTCACTAGGCATGCACACACACTTCCTTCTCTGATACAAGGGAAAGACTGACACTTCTTCCTGAGTTATTTAGGTGGCAGGCACTGAGCTCCATCATGTCATGGAAGGGGATGTCTGGTGGAGATATCTCTGCATTGAGTAAAAAACAAATGTGTTTGAGTGCCAAGTTAGAAAGTGAGAGGGGCTGGAGGGGGGCACAGCCCTCTGGCCTGGGCTCTCTGTCCCCTGGCTCCAACAGCCCCAGGGCAGCCCCAGTGCAGGGCTGGCAGGACACTGCAGAGAGCAACCAGCTCATTGCTGAGGGGAGCAGCAACAACACGTGCAACCCAGCAATGGCTGAAGGCACCTCTCAGTGATCGCTGCCACCCTGCGTGTTTTCACCTTCAAAGCATGTTCCCAACGCTATATTTTTGTTGTGTTTTCATCATCTTACAATTCAAAGACAATTTAGGTGATGTGTCTAAATAAACTGGTCTGTGCTGTGGGGGACACTAGTGTTTGGGAATTCCTGGTTCCTAGTCCCGTGCTCAGTTCATACATCCCTCCAAGAATAAAAACAGACTGGAGAAGGGCACAGTTCAAACTTACAGATGATCAGATTAGGCTACTAATTATATTCACATGAAGGGTGATGAGAGAATAAAGGCAAGGAAAGAGGAGCAGAGTGAGAAATAGCATTAGCAGCTACATGTGGTTACACTCAAAGCTGTGAGCACCAGATGGAGAAGAGGGGAAGCAGTTACAACAGGAGCAACACATAGAAGGCAAGTACTGTACCACATTCTTTCAGAGGCTCGTCAGACCAGTCCCTGCAGTCTCTATGTGAATCGCACACTTTGCCTCCGTCAATGCACTCTCCACTCTTACACTGAAACTTGCTGGGACTTTCACATGCTGACTCTGTCAGGTTGGGCAAGAGAGGAAAGCAACTAAGTTAGATGAGGCCCATGACAACAAACAGGCTGACACAAAGCTCAAGAGGGGGTCACTAGAAGAAATGGGATGGGATTAAGTAAATGAACATTGAGCCTGAGCATCATGCAAAGAACTTTTCGAGCCATGCAGTCTGCCTGGTCAGCACAGTCATCTCTCCCAAGCAACCCCACTGCCAGAACTCTGTAGAGGAAGCAGCCTGCCATGGCCCAGAGAGCAGCACAGGCCTCTTCCCTTTCCCTGGCCAGGCAGGCGTGGCAGGCCTGGATCATGGAGCACGAGGAGCACAGAGCCGTGGGCACCCACCTTGGACACAGCCAGCCTCGTCGCTCTTGTCGGGACAGTCGTGCACCTTGTCACACTGCTTCGCTCCGTGGATACAGGTCCCGTCCCCACACTGGAATTCATCCGGCCGGCACGTCACCAGAGCTGTAAGACAACACAGCAGATGTCACCCACACAGAACAGAATCGTTTGTGGGGTGCCTTTATAGCCTCGTACCTCTGACCCTGCCGGAGCTTTGCACCTCTGTCGGCAAATGCCAGAGCACTGGCTGCTTCCACCAAAGCAACAGAGGCAGCAGCTGCCTCAGACACTGTTCTGTGCCCCCCTGCCGTCCCACATCACCCTCTCCAGCCTTGCAAAAAGAGCCCCAGAGCCTGTTTGAGCAGATCAAGTCAAGGCAGAACCCACACAGGCAGTGAAGCCTCTCGGATGAGACAGAAGAAAGCAAGCAGGCAGCACAGCTCTCAGCTCTGGAGCCTGCAGTCTGTGGGAGAGGCCAGGCTGCCTTCCAGTGGCACTGGGTAGGGAAAAGCAACTGCTCCTCAGCTCTCCTTCCTTCGGAAAACATTACATTTAAGAGATATTATAAATCATGTTCAGGCTGAGGGCCCAGGCAAGAGACACTCATTGACTGTCTGCCAGAGCCGTGTGGTCACACTGGGGATGAAGCCAACAACGAGACACAGTCATCAGGTTACGGAATGCCCATGAGCCGACAGACCACTGGAAGGCAGAAGAGCTCCACATCACTGGGCGTGGTGTTTCTTGGGGTTTCCAGCCCAAAACACCTCCACCTGTCAGGCCAGGTTTCAAGCCTCAAGTTCATTTGCCCAGATCAGACTATTACAGACTCAAACCAGATCTGATGAACAGCAAAGTTGGGGAAAAATATAACCCAGACAGCTGCACTGCCCATACTAAAGCAGTGACATTTCTCTCCTAAAGTTACACTGAGAGACCTCCCTGGCTGGGACCAGAGCTGTGCTCACACAGGGCACAGTGCTCTCTAGTAAAGGGCTGTAGCTCCCTGGCAGAACAGGCCCCTCATTCCTGGGACATGTTATGCAGGTTCTTTCCCAGGGGCCTGTCTTACAGATGTGTTCTTAAAATCCTACCGAGGCAGTGCACCCTGGAGAGCTCCTGATTCCAGCCTTTCCATCCTGTGATTGTGTCCTGGTATCCTCTGACAGAAAATCACTGCCTCTGAGCAGCGAGGGGAGGTCACAGTGGTGTCACCACATGGGAGGGGAGAGCTGTGGGGACTCCCCTGGACAATTTGACAAATTGGTTCTAATACAAAAATTACTACTTTCAGATAACCCAGGAAGAGGCAAAGACATGCAGTGCATCGATATCACAAAAGTATGAGTTGCACAAAGACTCCACATTATTGGAGATCGCATCCAGGTTCATGACTGCTTCACTGGACTTAGTTCTAGTGCACCTTCAGCCAGCAAAGGGCACCAGAGACAGCAAAAGCCACAAGTTCAAGGCTGGTGGGGGAAGGGAGAAATCCTGCCTTTAGAACTACACAGTATTCCCAAGAGGAAAGTTTGGAAATAGCACTGGTCCTTGGAGAGGAAAGCCATATGCACTAAATTCATAAAAAAGCTGCAACGTGAGAAAAATATCCTAAGCAATAAGCCCAGTTATGGGGCCAGCTGTGTCACCACATTTGTCTGGTTTGACAAACCCAGACATAGGAATGGGAAACCTCAGTGGGACAGCAGCTCCAAACTAAGCATAGGGATCTGCTGCTCCAAATGGAGAAGATGAAGGAGACAAAGAAAGAAAGCTGTGGGCTGGGAGAGTCACCAACCAGAAGTTCCTGCAGGGAGACAGAGCCACTTCTGCTTGAACTGTTCCTCCATTGACAGCCACCTGCCTGGAGAAGCCCCAGTGATGGAGAGACCTCCTTTCCCGACAGGAAACCCTGATTTCTGGCCTCTGCAAGGCTTTTCCTACTGTCTCACTGAAAATTCAGTTGCCACAATTATTTCTTGTCTTCACCCCAAACCAACCAGTTTGCATCACCTTTTCTGTAGCAACTTCTGTATGTGGAGGCGGGAAAGGATGGTCCTCCATTCCTGACTATAAATGTTAACTCCCTACAAAAGTGTAATTAAAGCCAATGGGAGTCTTGTCTGGAACAGGAACAGGTCTCCAGTTTGTCAAGTAAATCTGCATGGCAACAGCCACACATTTGGAAGGCAGCTGTTACAAAACCCATAATTGTCCTCAATTGTAATCTTCAAAACTCTTCTAAAAAGCAATTATAGCTAGATGGTAAGAACTGAAAGGTTTCTAATCCTAAAACAAATTAAAATGAAGGAGAATTTTGTAGGAATTGCAAAGACAATGTTGCACAAGCACCATGAGACTGAGGAAAATGACAGCACAGCTCTTATCTTGATTGCTTCAGGGACTGCAGAACACGGATGTGGGGCTGTACAGCAACCACTGCACAAAGCTTTGCTCAAGAGACAGAAGGTTGCAGACAGGCTTGGTGTCCTGGCTCACTTCTCACTCCCCCAGACCTGTGGAAGTTCAGACCTCTGAGGTTCAGCCAAGAGCCTCTTCACAGACATCCCAAAAAAGCAGATACAGAAACAACTCACACTGATGACAAAGATACTGAAACGCAGGGATAGCATTTTGGTACCTTTCTGAGGAGAGAGAATGCCATGTTTACACCTGGCCTGGAAAGCACAGCTTTGAAGGGAGAGGGCCAGGAACTTTGTTACCCTGAAGCTGAGACACTGATCCATCTCAGCCCCACTGGCAGAGTTGCCTGCAGGTTCCCATTAGGGCCATTCCCAAAGCAAAGCAACATCCCAAGGAGAGGGAAGAGCCATGCTGTTTATCTGCACAAGATCTTTAGAAAACTGCTGTGCTATTTTGGAGGGTTTAAATCGGTAAAATCTCACAAGTTTTACAGCCATCTCCTCTGCAAATCAAATACAAACCAAATTGCCAAAGCTCTGCTAATTTAACAGACACCCTCAAAGAGACACAGTTACCATTTACAAATCCCGGGCATAAAGCTGTATCACTCAAATTCAGCAGATATATTCCAGATCTATATATTCCAGATCTCAGCTTGAGTGTCTTCTGTTTTTCAGGTTTTTTCTTTTCTCCCTCCCCCAAAATAAAATCCCAGCATCTGCAAAATCAATCCCATTTTATGGATGGGGAGACAGAGACAGGAAAATGTGAGGTCCAGTCTCAAGAGATCTGTTTTCTCTCTGTCAGTGGTAAGCATTATTTAATTCTCCCTCCCGGATGCCCTTAATGCAAGTTGCAAAGGACATTTTTTAAGTGTAACTATTCCAGATTTGGAGACTAATAAATCTAACTTAATGTTCATTTTATAAATATACATACATATTTGAATATATATGCTATGGAAAGAAACCCAGCCACTCAATGTTCTCACACAGCCTTCCTGAAATGACTCATTCCCTCCTATTTATTTGCGGTCTCGCTGCCAAAAGCTGTTCACCAATTGTCACCCTTCATTTCTGCTCTACTCATTTACCACCCCAAAATGTTTATAACAAATGACTGGTGGTGGCCTCATGACTTTTCTGGTTTTTTTCAGAAGGTGTAGTGGTGGGATCTGCAGTTTGAGTCAAGTCCAGCCTAGGGGTACCTGTGCCATCCCTGTTGCTCAGGGGCTGGAGCACTGTCACACACCTCTAACTCCCTGTGTGCCACGGGATACTGATCTCAAACACAGAACTGCTGCACAGGAAAAGAATCATAAAGGTCTCTAAACTTTTCAGTCCAACAGAGGAGCAGCGACACTGAGTTTCCAGAGCTCTCACTGCAGGCAGGTGCACCCCAGCAACAGCTGCATTTGGGATGGGGCAGCAGCATCAGTTTTGGCTCTGACCCAGTCAGTCCATCACCTACATGAGCACTCAGTGCTGCAAGTCCTGTCCTGGCTGTTACCTCAGAGTCCCCTCAGTGCAGGCTGAACACCTCTGTGGCACTGGGGTGTCAAGGCAGAGCCAGGGACTTGGTGCAGCAGCTAAAACAGGGGCTCTGAATCCCACTGTTTGCTGGCCCACAGGAGCAGAATCCCCTCACATGCACATTTCTCCAGGGCGGATCAGCTGCACACTGTGCTGTAACTGGGACTATCTGGAAAAACCTCCTGTGTGCTAAAGGCTACTCAGAGATAGAATTGTCTCAAGTCACTTGTGCCACATTTCCCCCTTTCTCCACTGGTTGTCAGCACCGTGCTGTGCTGCAGTGGTGTCCAGCTGCGTCCTCTGCCCCTGGGAGTTGCCTCTGGAGTATCTGGAAGTGCTGCCTGGTGAAGCTGCTCTGCAGCTGAGGGAGGGTGTCAGAGCTGTGCTCCTTTCAGCAGTCTGAGCTCAGCTGGACTTTGCTGGTGCCTGTCAGGTCAGGGGAGGGAGCTGGGGAACAGAGAGCTCCCTCTGCCTCAGGGAGGTACCCGGGCACAGTCCCGCTCTCACCCAGCAGAATGTCCAGGTAAACGGGGCCTGTAAAAGACTTAATTCAAGTGGAACAACAGGGATTGAAATTTAAGAGACATTCCAATTCAAAGTGCCATCTGTAAGCTGCTCCACTCTTTATCCACTTGGAAATAGGAGGGAACTCACCCTTTCTGTCTCCTGAGCTGTCTAAACTCAGCCATCCTGTCAGGCCGCTGTCACTGCAGGGAATGCATCCTGTGGGACAGGGATCAGTTCTGCCGGGAGTCCCCTGCACCAGACACCAGTTCTTCCCTGTGTTTGTAATGTGGGCCCTGCCACTGCCTCCTGATTCGGAGGGGATACAAGTACAGGACTGCCCACAGGAGGTCTCAGAATGAAAACTGGCACCAAACCCCCCAGGCTGTCCCAGCAGTGCCCATTTCCACCAGACCTGCTCCTGCATGGCTTTCTTACAGTCCTGTCACACTGACGTGGGTGCCAGGAACCAAGGTTGTCTCCTGACACTCCCATCCCTGTGACCCTGCAGACCTGGGCACCTGCTGCCCAAGAGCTCTCTCATCTCCTGTATCACCTTCTCAGAGATGAAGGAAAAGACATCCTACTAATCCATCCCTACTTGGGAAGGGCTGACAGTGATGATATCCTTGTACCCAGCAGTCAAAGCTGCTCTCTTCCAAAAAAACCATATTTGGTTTCTCCTGTTCTGCTCTCCTTGGCTATTTTAAAGGCATAACAGCTCCATCGTTACCTGTGGCTTATCCTTTGCTCTCCTGAAGAGTCAATAGTTGTGCCCAGGATTTCCTGCATACTCCTCTTATTAAAGAAGGTACTGAATTTACATCTGCTTCTCTCTGCTGGGGAGAGTCTGATCCCCAGCCCCTTGAAGGGCTCTCCCACACAGCTGCTCTGAGCCCACCTGTCTGTACTTGGTGTTGTCTTGGATATGAAAAGATGGTAATGGCAAAAGTGGTACCTTTGCAAAAATCCCTGTTTTCTCCAGCTGGTTCCTGCCTTCCTCCCCAGAGGTGGCCCAGTGTCAGAGCTGCTAAATATATACAGCTATGTAAATGTTTTATTTCAATCTTGTCATAATAAATATTTTAGGAAAGCATTTTGCTCTTATTTTCTTCTCTCTCCCTTCTCAGGTAAGTGACCAGCTTGAACAGTTTAGTGGCTAAAAATGGATGAAACATTCAAAATACCACAGATACCAACACCAGCATGTGAAATGCATAGAGCCAGCTGAAAAAAAAAAATCCATTATTTATTAGCTCTGTGCCTTTATCAAGCCAAGCTCAAAGTACATTTCAAACTGGATTCTTCAGAGGTATTGCTCTTGACTGCCTTGTTCAGTGTACTCCAACTTCAGAGGCAGAAAATGAATTATTTTTTTCTGCTGATCATATATTCCCTTTAGCATAGCAGCTTCTCACCTCCAGGCTGTGACCCCACTGTGCAGCCTGAGGGCTTTGAACATTTTTCACATTTTTCATTCCTTGTCTTTCCAGTAAAAAAGATCTCTTCTGAGGCACAGTACCATGCAACAGCTCCCACACCTCCGCTCTGAACCCTCAAGGGCAAAGCAGAAAGGAGCCTGGAATATCCCTGACCCTGCTGGGCCGGGCACCCAGCCACGCTGCTGGGGACAGCAGCGCTCCTTGCCAGGCACAGCGACATCACAGCCCTGCCTCCACACCCAGCCCAGGGCAGCCTCCCTTGCCAGGCACACCCAGCCCAGGGCAGCCCCCGCCCCGCCCGCGGACACTCACGGCAGTCCTGCTCGTCGGACTTGTCCTTGCAGTCCTCGTCCCCGTCGCACTTCCAGTTGAGGTGGATGCACTCCCCGTTGCCGCACTGGAACTCGTGGGCCGCGCACGTGTTGAGGGCCTTGGTGTCGTGGCCACACTTCTCCACAGACTCGTCCGACTGGTCCTCGCAGTCGGGCTGGTTGTCGCACACCCACAGCTCCGGGATGCACACGCTGTTGTTGCACTGGAACTCGTTGGGGTTGCACGTCAGGGGGGAGCATTTCCTTTCATCGCTGCCGTCCCCGCAGTCATTGTCACCGTCACACACGAAGATGATGGAGATGCACGACTTGTTACTGCACTGGAACTCGTTGGGAGAACAGGCTTGGGAATAAAAACAAACGGGTGAGATGTGAGGTCTCCAAACCACCCCCAGCACTGCACCAGCCATAGCACATCAGGAGTGTCTGAGAGAGGGAGGGTGAAGGGTTCCTGTGGCTGTCCTAACCCAGAGCACGTTTCCCAATGGTAACACACACGGCAAGGAGCACGTGCAGAGCCAGCGCTCCCGTCCCCAGCTGTGCCACAGGATGATCCTCTACAGGCCTTGGGCAGCCCTGAAGGAGAAGGGGCAGCAGGGCTGTGGGAACAGCAGGTGGGAGAAGCGGGGGCAGCGCTGCCCTGGGGTTGGGGCAGGAGCAGCCAGGAGAGCCCCTTCCACAGGGTGACAGCACAGGAAGAGCGGGAGATGGCAGGGGAGAGGCTGGGCTGTGCTTTGCTCTGTGCTGACATTACCAGCTTCCTGACTTTCATCATTCACAATCAGGTTTCAGGATTTCACAGTATGCCTGGTTTTGGACATATTAAGTGGGATGTGTAGGGTAAATATTTAGTGAGTCGAGCATCAATTTAGCTGCAATCTGCCAGTAAGGCCCTTTACAACACAACTCAACATTAACATACAAATGAGGCGCTTGTCAGATAGGAGCTGAGTGGAGAACTCTCCTCTGCAAGCCTAATGGACAGCTGAACCAGAGAAACCTGTGCAAATTAAACTTGCAGGTACTCCAACAACCCACATTACAGTCACTTTAATTCATCAAAGCGTGGGGGAACCAAAACCCTGGAAGAAATTCTCCATTAGTACTTTGAGGTAGTTACTTCCAAAAGAATTCTGTCTCTGCAGTTTCAGTCATCTACAGGAATTATGGCTTTGATAAATTAAAGCACAATAAATACATATAAATTACAATAAGCTTTTTTTTTTTTTTACATTGCACTGACTTTTTTTTTTTTTTTTTTTTACATGGGGAATCTTTTTGTCTTCAGAAGCAGAACCATTTACTGTTGTACCTGCAGAGCCCCTACAGTGAACCCCAGTTTAGATAGTTCCAATCACTGCAATGGCAAGTGCACCTGTAAAGTTGTCATACCCAATGACAGGAACCCAGTGGTATCCTACTGAAATATTATCTCTGTTTTATACCTGGGAATGAAGCTCTGTTTATCTAATAATTAAGAACATGTTCACTTGCACAGATGTTTATTTACATTGTAGCTTGCAAACTCACTGGGCTCTGTTAACCTAAGCAGCCTGTCATTTACACCAACCATGACAACACACACCCCCCTCTCTCCTCCTGCCCTGTGCTCTGCCCCTTTTACTCCCAGGTTTTCCAGATGTTACAGAACAACAATCTGCCTAATTAGAAGAGAGGGAGGATTGCCTTCCTTGGTGCAATACTACCATGCACTGGCCAGGACCCAGGCTCTCTCCAACAGGGAAAAGTGTTTACGAGACTCTCAGCTGCCCAACCTGACATCAGGAATGAAATGCAGCAGGAGTGGTCACCAAAGGAGCACTCTGTTATACTCCACAGCATCAGCTGGTCCAGGTGGATCAGCTCAGGTTCCTTCTGTACTTGGTATTTTGGGTACAGAGATGCCCCCAGCAGGCACCTGTCCCTTGGAGGAGGCAGCATTTCTCCTCTTTAAAGAGAAGGAACTGAGATCACACAGTATTAGGACCTGAAATACAAGCAGTCTGGTGGAGAAGCATCTAAGCCCCCTCTCTTTTGCGTGGCAGAATTGGGACCATTAAAATGCTCTGATTTTCACCTGAATTCTGCTCTTTTCCTTCATTGAACAAACTTTTCTATCCTTATGCCATAAGTAGAAATAATCCATCAGCCCTACTGATCAGTGCACAGCTGTATAACCTAACACTGTCTTCAGGTAATGCACAATATAGAAATGCATCTGGAACTCTACTCCAGGAAGTGGAAATCTAAGGGAAAAGTTACAATCTTACCAATCTATCTAAAAAGGCAGTGGGAAAACAGGAATATTTCTAAGGCTATGTACAGCTTCTGTAACAGATCAAGGCCGAGAAGAAGAAATTGCTTTTCTGGCATTACTTTGATGAATCTCAGAAACAGATCAGAGAGCAAAATCCTGCATAGTCCTTTGATCCCTAATGTTTGGGCAAGGTTGTAATGATTTGCACACTCCAAACGTGCATAAATTTCCTTTCCACCATCTGTAATGAGCCCCTCTTTTTCCTCTAGTTGTTTTCGTGGTCCCACCTCCACCCCTCCTCCTGTCTGTACACATTTCTCTTCAGGAATCTGCTGCACTGGCAAATTAGTGACTGATAAACATCTGAGTGGGACACAGACAATGGAAGTTTGCACAAAAGCTCCTCCTCTGCACCTACAAATCCCAGCACAGAGATAAAATTACTGATAATCACAGCCAGAAAATAGAAGCAGTTCAGCTTTTGTAACCTCTCCTGAGGACTTTCTCAGTGGAGCTTGAGAATTACTAGCTAGGAAAATTGCATGGTCATGATTATTTTATTTCTTCTTAAAAATTAAATTTAGTGTGATGACAGCACTAGAGACTACAAGTTCTCTCTCCACTGAACAAGCACAGCACTTTGGCTGTTGATAACTCCCCTTTCCACCACAGTCCTTAGGTGGGGATCAACCTCTGCCAGCTCACACGGGACAACAGATAATGTCCCAATTCCTCTCACCCTTCCATTATCCTCTCTGACAGCTAAAATCCACAGGGCATGCCAGGATAAAGCCGAGGCTGCAGCTCCCAGTCACTGGGGGACTTCTCTGGCACACACAGGCAAGAGGAGAAAAGCTGCTTATGATCCCTCTGCACCTGGGCAGGAGCCCCCACGAGCTCCCGGGTTGCTGCTGCGCAGATGGGAGCCGGCTGGAACAGCCTAAGAACAAGCAGCACTGCAAATTATCTTGCCCAGCACCTGGAGAGATGAGGATGGGGAAGTCAAGTCCCAGGGACAGTTCACATCTCCGTTCATAAATCTGCCAGGGTACCTGCACAGTGCCACCACTACAGCATTTCACTGCCTCCAGAGCATTCCAACAGAAAATGTGCAAATAGTAATTAAATGGTCACTGGGGTATTTTTTCTTTCACTTGAGCAATTTGTTTGCATTCCCTGAATTTGTTCCCTGTCCTATTGGAGGCTCATTCCCGCAAAACAAAGGAAAACAAGAATTAGTTTGCTTTCTTGAGTGCCAGAGAAATTAATAAATGTACTCTAAGATGTAAAACCTCCTTCAAATATGAGGGATCCCAGTAGAAATCCTGGAAATGTTTGCAAGAGGAAATGTTTAACCAACAGGCTTCACAGCAGTAAACAAGTAGAACTACGAAACCAGTTTAGTAGAGCACTGGAATGTGTTAAAGTTCTTCACAGTTTTAGGAAGTGAAATATCACATGTAAATAATTGTGTAGATGTGATCTGACCTATAGACAATGTAAACCAGAGGTATTCTGCATTAATTTCTGTCTTATGCCAACATATAGAGCACAACTGTCACAGTTTTTGCCTCACAGCTGCAGTCTCGTCACACCTCTGGAGGAGATGGAGCAGAAGCAGGATTTGGGAGTGCAAAATAATAAAATTAGAGATGATAAGTGAGACTGCAGTTGTGAGGTTAATGATTCAGTACTGGCTGGTTCTCTTTTGCCCAGAGCCAGGAGCGAAGCGAGGCTTTAGCACGTAGTCTGGTGCAGCAGGGACAACCTGAGCTCAGGTGTGGCACCAAAAAATTAAGATAATTCTACCACTTATAGGAAAAAAGTAGAATGCTCTAAAGAGGTAGAATTCTCTAAAGATACAGGGTGTTCATTGAAAACTGCAAATTAAAGAAATAGACATTTGTACATAACATTTCTACAATGGACCAAGTATGGATCCTCAAATCTGGGTAAAACTGAAAAAAACCCCAACATGGTATAACCATCATTAACAGGAGTTGGGAATTATGTACAATGGGCTATAGCTGCTTTCACTGCTAACCTTTAATTAAAGATTTTATAGCTTTTCAGTAAGAGTCAGGTATTTAATTCATCTCTCTCCTCCAAAAGAGTCATTTCCACTTAAAGAAAGATAATTATTTGGTAAAATTTGTGGTAAAGTGAGTAACAACAATTATCCACTGATGCTGAAGACAAGGAAATAAGATGAATTATTACATTGTATTTTTCTGACACTGTCCCTAAAGTAACTTTAAAAAATGTGTCTCAAAATGTACATTTGCTGAAACCCAATAATGCATCTTCTAAAGAAGGCAAAGGATGATTTCACACACCAGCATTCGCAGTGGGGAGGGAGAGATGTGCTCTTGCCTCACTGCTGCTGCAGCTCTGGCAGGAGAGGCTGGTGGCCTTCAGAAACTCTGCTGAGCTCTGAGGCTGAGGGCTCTGTGAGGCTGCAGGAGGGCACTGGCTGAGCCCCACCTGCCCAGGTGTCGTGCACCACGTGCGACCCAAACACACAGCCCACACCAGCTAACCCTGAGCTGGACACGGGTAAGGGGGTCACAGCTCCCAGGGCCAGCTGCCAACGCTGCCATCATGTTAGCTTTACTGCACTAGCTATAATTTTCAGCCTCAATTGTATCCAAATTGTTTATTTTGCCTGCAGACAATTGCTCACCAGATACCTGAACATTTCTTACACATCTTCGGTCAGGTGCCAGTCCTTAAAGCACGGATTCATGCCTAGAAGGACAAGTTTCCCATGGAAAGCTGCCCTCCAGGAAGGACAGCAGAAGAGATGGAGGTAAATGAAGATGACCTTGAAGCACATTGCTCTGAAAAAAATGACAGGCCTCCCATGGAGGGAATAATGCAGCTGAATTGCAGCCTCACTCGGAGCAGTGGTTGTTGCCATGGTGATTGATACCGAAAAGCCCATATAGACACGACTGCAGGAGGAATTGTAATTCCTGATATTGTTCAAATCACTAATGTGGCTCAGGAGCCATCTCACATGCTCTCACAAATTAATATTTGCATGTGCTCTTCTGCCTTTGTCACACTGCTCCCCTCCAACACAA